ATAGGAAAAGGAGAAGTTTAGGTCAATTTTATGCATTCTGGCGTTCGTAGATACAAGAAAACTGTTAAAATTCTTCAGAAACGTCACTTTTGAAGTGTTTTCTTGTACTTTTAAGCCACTCAGATACCCTACGGGCTCGGAAAGTGCAACGAAACCATCAAATTTTAGCTAGAAACTGTATTTTTGTCGATTTTTATTGAATTTGAACTATATTTCAAAGTTTTTTGATGGTTCTGAGCCACCAAACACACTTAAAGCATGCAGAATCGACTCAGAATAGGAAAAGGAGACGTTTAGGTCAATTTTATGCATTCTGGCGTTCGTAGATACAAGAAAACTGTTAAAATTCTTCAGAAACGTCACTTTTGAAGTGTTTTCTTGTACTTTTAAGCCACTCAGATACCCTACGGGTTCGGAAAGTGCAACGAAACCATCAAATTTTAGCTAGAAACTGTATTTTTGTCGATTTTTATTGAATTTGAACTATATTTCAACGTTTTTTGATGGTTCTGAGCCACCAAACACACTTAAAGCATGCAGAATCGACTCAGAATAGGTAAAGGAGACGTTTAGGTCAATTTTATGCATTCTGGCGTTCGTAGATACAAGAAAACTGTTAAAATTCTTCAGAAACGTCACTTTTGAAGTATTTTCTTGTACTTTTAAGCCACTCAGATACCCTACGGGCTCGGAAAGTGCAACGAAACCATCAAATTTTAGCTAGAAACTGTATTTTTGTCGATTTTTATTGAATTTGAACTATATTTCAACGTTTTTTGATGGTTCTGAGCCACCAAACACACTTAAAGCATGCAGAATCGACTCAGAATAGGAAAAGGAGACGTTTAGGTCAATTTTATGCATTCTGGCGTTCGTAGATACAAGAAAACTGTTAAAATTCTTCAGAAACGTCACTTTTGAAGTGTTTTCGTGTACTTTTAAGCCACTCAGATACCCTACGGGCTCGGAAAGTGCAACGAAACCATCAAATTTTAGCTAGAAACTGTATTTTTGTCGATTTTTATTGAATTTGAACTATATTTCATCGTTTTTTGATGGTTCTGAGCCACCAAACACACTTAAAGCATGCAGAATCGACTCAGAATAGGAAAAGGAGACGTTTAGGTCAATTTTATGCATTCTGGCGTTCGTAGATACAAGAAAACTGTTAAAATTCTTCAGAAACGTCGCTTTTGAAGTGTTTTCTTGTACTTTTAAGCCACTCAGATACCCTACGGGCTCGGAAAGTGCAACGAAACCATCAAATTTTAGCTAGAAACTGTATTTTTGTCGATTTTTATTGAATTTGAACTATATTTCAACGTTTTTTGATTGTTCTGAGCCACCAAACACACTTAAAGCATGCAGAATCGACTCAGAATAGGAAAAGGAGACGTTTAGGTCAATTTTATGCATTCTGGCTTTCGTAGATACAAGAAAACTGTTAAAATTCTTCAGAAACGTCACTTTTGAAGTGTTTTCTTGTACTTTTAAGCCACTCAGATACCCTACGGGCTCGGAAAGTGCAACGAAACCATCAAATTTTAGCTAGAAACTGTATTTTTGTCGATTTTTATTGAATTTGAACTATATTTCAACGTTTTTTGATGGTTCTGAGCCACCAAACACACTTAAAGCATGCAGAATCGACTCCGAATAGGAAAAGGAGACGTTTAGGTCAATTTTATGCATTCTGGCGTTCGTAGATACAAGAAAACTGTTAAAATTCTTCAGAAACGTCACTTTTGAAGTGTTTTCTTGTACTTTTAAGCCACTCAGATACCCTACGGGCTCGGAAAGTGCAACGAAACCATCAAATTTTAGCTAGAAACTGTATTTTTGTCGGTTTTTATTGAATTTGAACTATATTTCAACGTTTTTTGATGGTTCTGAGCCACCAAACACACTTAAAGCATGCAGAATCGACTCAGAATAGGAAAAGGAGACGTTTAGGTCAATTTTATGCATTCTGGCGTTCGTAGATACAAGAAAACTGTTAAAATTCTTCAGAAACGTCACTTTTGAAGTGTTTTCTTGTACTTTTAAGCCACTCAGATACCCTACGGGCTCGGAAAGTGCAACGAAACCATCAAATTTTAGCTAGAAACTGTATTTTTGTCGATTTTTATTGAATTTGAACTATATTTCAACGTTTTTTGATGGTTCTGAGCCACCAAACACACTTAAAGCATGCAGAATCGACTCAGAATAGGAAAAGGAGACGTTTAGGTCAATTTTATGCATTCTGGCGTTCGTAGATACAAGAAAACTGTTAAAATTCTTCAGAAACGTCACTTTTGAAGTGTTTTCTTGTACTTTTAAGCCACTCAGATACCCTACGGGCTCGGAAAGTGCAACGAAACCATCAAATTTTAGCTAGGAACTGTATTTTTGTCGATTTTTATTGAATTTGAACTATATTTCAACGTTTTTTGATGGTTCTGAGCCACCAAACACACTTAAAGCATGCAGAATCGACTCAGAATAGGAAAAGGAGACGTTTAGGTCAATTTTATGCATTCTGGCGTTTGTAGATACAAGAAAACTGTTAAAATTCTTCAGAAACGTCACTTTTGAAGTGTTTTCTTGTACTTTTAAGCCACTCAGATACCCTACGGGTTCGGAAAGTGCAACGAAACCATCAAATTTTAGCTAGAAACTGTATTTTTGTCGATTTTTATTGAATTTGAACTATATTTCAACGTTTTTTGATGGTTCTGAGCCACCAAACACACTTAAAGCATGCAGAATCGACTCAGAATAGGAAAAGGAGACGTTTAGGTCAATTTTATGCATTCTGCCGTTCGTAGATACAAGAAAACTGTTAAAATTCTTCAGAAACGTCACTTTTGAAGTGTTTTCTTGTACTTTTAAGCCACTCAGATACCCTACGGGCTCGGAAAGTGCAACGAAACCATCAAATTTTAGCTAGAAACTGTATTTTTGTCGATTTTTATTGAATTTGAACTATATTTCAACGTTTTTTGATGGTTCTGAGCCACCAAACACACTTAAAGCATGCAGAATCGACTCAGAATAGGAAAAGGAGACGTTTAGGTCAATTTTATGCATTCTGGCGTTCGTAGATACAAGAAAACTGTTAAAATTCTTCAGAAACGTCACTTTTGAAGTGTTTTCTTGTACTTTTAAGCCACTCAGATACCCTACGGGCTCGGAAAGTGCAACGAAACCATCAAATTTTAGCTAGAAACTGTATTTGTGTCGATTTTTATTGAATTTGAACTATATTTCAACGTTTTTTGATGGTTCTGAGCCACCAAACACACTTAAAGCATGCAGAATCGACTCAGAATAGGAAAAGGAGACGTTTAGGTCAATTTTATGCATTCTGGCGTTCGTAGATACAAGAAAACTGTTAAAATTCTTCAGAAACGTCACTTTTGAAGTGTTTTCTTGTACTTTTAAGCCACTCAGATACCCTACGGGCTCGGAAAGTGCAACGAAACCATCAAATTTTAGCTAGAAACTGTATTTTTGTCGATTTTTATTGAATTTGAACTATATTTCAACGTTTTTTGATGGTTCTGGGCCACCAAACACACTTAAAGCATGCAGAATCGACTCCGAATAGGAAAAGGAGACGTTTAGGTCAATTTTATGCATTCTGGCGTTCGTAGATACAAGAAAACTGTTAAAATTCTTCAGAAACGTCACTTTTGAAGTGTTTTCTTGTACTTTTAAGCCACTCAGATACCCTACGGGCTCGGAAAGTGCAACGAAACCATCAAATTTTAGCTAGAAACTGTATTTTTGTCGGTTTTTATTGAATTTGAACTATATTTCAACGTTTTTTGATGGTTCTGAGCCACCAAACACACTTAAAGCATGCAGAATCGACTCAGAATAGGAAAAGGAGACGTTTAGGTCAATTTTATGCATTCTGGCGTTCGTAGATACAAGAAAATTGTTAAAATTCTTCAGAAACGTCACTTTTGAAGTGTTTTCTTGTACTTTTAAGCCACTCAGATACCCAACGGGCTCGGAAAGTGCAACGAAACCATCAAATTTTAGCTAGAAACTGTATTTTTGTCGATTTTTATTGAATTTGAACTATATTTCAACGTTTTTTGATGGTTCTGAGCCACCAAACACACTTAAAGCATGCAGAATCGACTCAGAATAGGAAAAGGAGACGTTTAGGTCAATTTTATGCATTCTGGCAAGTAAGTAAGTAAGTAAGTAAGTAAGTAATTTTATTGTGCTAAAAACATAAAGTTTATACACTCGTCCAAAGTTTACAAGAATGTAATAGTAAAAATAAACATAAAAACCATGCAATACAATACTTATGTAGATTATGAGCTAGCTACATGATAAACAAGAAATTACTCAAAATTATATTGAAAATATTCATTGAAACTATAAAAACTATTTTCGGTTAAGACATCCTTGATTTTTTTTAGAAATTGAGATGGTGGAAGGTTGCGGAAACTCTGAGATAATTTGTTAAAGAACACTATACAGAAATAGTTCCTGGCAGTTCTGCAACGGTTTATTCTCAAATTTTCGATTAACAAATTTGTGGACCTGGTATTATAGTCATGGAAAGAACTCAGTGTAGGAAATTGATTAATTTGGTTTACTAAAAATTTAAAACAGTGATAGATATACAAGCAGGGCAATGTCAAAATATTTAAGGATTGAAATGAAAATTTGCAATCATTACGATAACCAATACCTGAAAGGATTCTAATAGCTCTTCTTTGAAGCCTAAAAAGGTTTTGTGACGAGGCGCTGTGTCCCCAGATTAGTATACCATATACTAAGTGAGATTGTATTAGCGCATAATATGCAATTTTTAATATATTTTGATCAACACGATTTGATAAGTTTCTTAAGAGATAAGTATTTTTAGAAATGATGTGAACAATATAATCCACATGTTCATGCCAAAGTAATTTAGTATCTAGAACAATTCCGAGAAACTTGTTAGTACTTTTCGTATCCGCAAAAGACTTATCTGTCTTCAATGAAAATACCATCTGAAGTGATTTGTTCTTATTTACGCAAAGTTTGTTGGCGAAAAACCAAGGTTCCGCTTGCGAAGATATATTCATAAGAGTACTTATTACTAATGAAGATGACATTGCCTTTTTACTAAAAGTAGTATCGTCCGCGTACAATATCGTAAAAAAATCAGGGAAAAAGTATGGCAGATCGTTCACATAAATTAAGAAAATTAGAGGCCCTAAGATGGACCCCTGAGGTACACCATACGCGATTTGTTCTTTATCGGAGACTATACCATCAACAGAGACTACTTGCAATCGATTCAAAAGATACGATGAAATTAATCTAGTGGCATCTGGCTGAAAGTTGTAAAAAAAAAGTTTACGGATTAGTATTTCATGAGACATGCAGTCAAATGCCTTACTAAGATCTAGAAAGGCAGACACAAAATATTCACCATCTTGAAAGGATTTAACGACATTATCAATAAAAGATAGAACAGCTTTTTCAGTGGATAAGCCTTTTCGAAATCCAAACTGATTTGTACAAAACAAGTTATTACTAATAAAGAATTCAAGGATTTGTTCTAACATTAATTTTTCGAACACTTTAGACAACACTGGAAGAAGGGAGATTGGTCGATAGTTATCAACTTCATTGACATTACCTTTTTTGTATATTGGACATACTAAAGCCAATTTTAAGCAGTCTGGAAAAACCGAGTCAACAATACATTTATTTATTAATTTGGTCAAAGGTGCAATTAGTATATCCTTTACTGATTTTATAACGTCGACATTGAACCCATAAATATCTTTACTGCTCTTATTTTTTAATTTATTCAATGCCTCACGTACTTGTACCTCACTAACTGTCCTGAATTTAAAGAACATATGTGACGTGTTATTAACAGATATCATAATTTTAACAGGATCAAGATTAGTATTTGGTAAGGAATTAAGAATATTTTTAGCAATGCTCGAGAAATGTAAATTGAATTCGTTAGAGGAAATTTTTGTAGTTTCATGAATAGTACGTTTTCTACTTCTGTTTATTAATGACCACATAGCTTTAGAATTATTAGAATTGTTTTTAATAAAGACATTATTAGCTGCAATTTTAGCTTTTTTAACAGCTTCTTCATATTTACGCTTAAAGTTATTATACATTATTTTCAAACCCAAAGTCCCATATAATCTGTAAGAACTATATATTAGATGCAGAGTTTCTCGCATGATTTTTAAATCAGGGGTATACCAAATTATATTATGGACCTTGGATCTGTTACACGATAGTTTCTTCTCAGGACAGGCGATATTATAATACAATAGTAGCGTATCTATAAAGATCGAGAACAAATCAGACGCATTAAAGTCGCAATTTTGATCAATGAAACTCCAATCAACTTGTTGTAATAAATTAAAAAACATGATTTTCCCAAACTGTGAGATGGGCCTTACATATTTAGGGATAAATGAGTTATCGAATACAGCTTCCTTTAGAGTAACATTTACACATATTCCAGTATGGTCCGACTGATAAAGTTTAGCAGGTGTTATATTTATCATATCTGAATTAATATTAGTAAACACATTATCAAGTGTGTTGTTATAACGCGTTTTAAATCTGACAGTAGAATATAAGCCGTAGCTAGACAAAAGATTACAAAAATAATTGGCTTTTGCATCATTAGTGCCAAATAATAAGTTAAAATCTCCACCCACTATGACGTATTTAGATTTGCAATGAATTTCATTAAGAAGAATGACTATAGTATCAATAAATTTATGAAAATCGCCTTTTGGCGAGCGATAAACCGTTATTAAAATTAAATCTAACTTAGTGATAAGTACGCCGCATAATTCGCAATCCACCTCAGCAGAAAGTGCTGATACCTTATCAGACAGAATCTTGAAGGGGATACTTTGGTGCATCAGCTGCATGACTCCTCCATGCTTCTTTGAAGACCGCGCAAAAAATGCTGCCGTGTTGAAATCGGGCACATGAATATTATCGATTTCGATATGGTTCAACCAATGTTCACAAAGGCAGATACAATTTATTTTTAGAATTTCCACTTCTGAAAAAAGCATATTAAATTTGTTTCTAATGCACTGTATGTTTAAAAATAAAATTCGAAAACTGGCCCCTTTGAAACAGAAATTTTCTATTAATTCATTAGGGACGTATTCACTTTTTCGTTTTTTAAGAAGTAAAATTTTTTCACTAAAATTCCTTCCGGCCATAATTCCTCCTTGAAGAAATCCTTAAAAATTGTTTTCTCCACTGTGATTTTGAATGACACGCTTTTGGCAGTAGGCCTCTTAGGAAGTTTGTCAACACTAATTTCTTTATCAGAGAATTTAGACTTTAAGAATAGCTTCAAATCGTTTTCAGACGTGTTTGGATGTAAATTACCGACATAGATATACCCATTTCGCGGCACAGCCTTTATCAACGTATCATTTTCATTTGTAGCAGAAGCTTTACCTCGAATGAAGTTACGCTTTTTCTTTCTTGAGACAACAGTTTGAAAACCTTCGGCATCATTTAGGGCGTTGTGAGAAGATATTTCTTCATTTTTTTCATTTTTTTCCATGTTCGACGATGCTACGTTTAATGATGGATTAGATGGAATAAACGGGATAACCTTTGGGTCTAAAACGGATTTATTATTGTTATCCTTCGGAATTTTCTGCTGTTTATTAGTTTTTTGGCCGGATCGGTTTTGGACACTCTTATCGCGTGATGTTTTATAGTGTACTTTTTTTTTACACTCGTTTGTATCGTTTATGCCATCGGAAGATATATCGGAGAACACATCGACATCGAAAGAGGGCACCTTCAACAAATTATTTTTGGGATAATCTGTCAACATTTTTATCATATCAACATTGGAACTCTTCACATTGTTAAGCTCTTGTTTAAGACTTCGAATTTCGTCACGCAGGGAGACGGTGGCTGCTTCTATTGCCTTGCGTAAGATGCTAGAAAAGGTGTTGCTTTTTAGGAAACTAATTACTGTTTCCGTTATCAAAGTTTCTTCATCTCCTATCTTGACAGATGTACTCTCTGAAGTCGCTGTTTTATTGTGATGAAGACATTCCATTTCTGTTTCGGTAAAGAAACTAAACACTTCCTTTTTTTTATTTTTTTCACGAGCACAACTAGGGTGATAAGTTAGCCCACAAACTACACAACGTGTACACTTGCTTCTTAGCACTTGTTTGCATTTATCGCACTTTATTTCCGATTCACTTCTTTGAGAATCCGAAAACACTTCTTCACTCGTCGCCATCTTGTTCTGTGGCGTTCGTAGATACAAGAAAACTGTTAAAATTCTTCAGAAACGTCACTTTTGAAGTGTTTTCTTGTACTTTTAAGCCACTCAGATACCCTACGGGCTCGGAAAGTGCAACGAAACCATCAAATTTTAGCTAGAAACTGTATTTTTGTCGATTTTTATTGAATTTGAACTATATTTCAACGTTTTTTGATGGTTCTGAGCCACCAAACACACTTAAAGCATGCAGAATCGACTCAGAATAGGAAAAGGAGACGTTTAGGTCAATTTTATGCATTCTGGCGTTCGTAGATACAAGAAAACTGTTAAAATTCTTCAGAAACGTCACTTTTGAAGTGTTTTCTTGTACTTTTAAGCCACTCAGATACCCTACGGGCTCGGAAAGTGCAACGAAACCATCAAATTTTAGCTAGAAACTGTATTTTTGTCGATTTTTATTGAATTTGAACTATATTTCAACGTTTTTTGATGGTTCTGAGCCACCAAACACACTTAAAGCATGCAGAATCGACTCAGAATAGGAAAAGGAGACGTTTAGGTCAATTTTATGCATTCTGGCGTTCGTAGATACAAGAAAACTGTTAAAATTCTTCAGAAACGTCACTTTTGAAGTGTTTTCTTGTACTTTTAAGCCACTCAGATACCCTACGGGCTCGGAAAGTGCAACGAAACCATCAAATTTTAGCTAGAAACTGTATTTTTGTCGATTTTTATTGAATTTGAACTATATTTCAACGTTTTTTGATGGTTCTGAGCCATCAAACACACTTAAAGCATGCAGAATCGACTCAGAATAGGAAAAGGAGACGTTTAGGTCAATTTTATGCATTCTGGCGTTCGTAGATACAAGAAAACTGTTAAAATTCTTCAGAAACGTCACTTTTGAAGTGTTTTCGTGTACTTTTAAGCCACTCAGATACCCTACGGGCTCGGAAAGTGCAACGAAACCATCAAATTTTAGCTAGAAACTGTATTTTTGTCGATTTTTATTGAATTTGAACTATATTTCAACGTTTTTTGATTGTTCTGAGCCACCAAACACACTTAAAGCATGCAGAATCGACTCAGAATAGGAAAAGGAGACGTTTAGGTCAATTTTATGCATTCTGGCGTTCGTAGATACAAGAAAACTGTTAAAATTCTTCAGAAACGTCACTTTTGAAGTGTTTTCTTGTACTTTTAAGCCACTCAGATACCCTACGGGCTCGGAAAGTGCAACGAAACCATCAAATTTTAGCTAGAAACTGTATTTTTGTCGATTTTTATTGAATTTGAACTATATTTCAACGTTTTTTGATGGTTCTGAGCCACCAAACACACTTAAAGCATGCAGAATCGACTCCGAATAGGAAAAGGAGACGTTTAGGTAAATTTTATGCATTCTGGCGTTCGTAGATACAAGAAAACTGTTAAAATTCTTCAGAAACGTCACTTTTGAAGTGTTTTCTTGTACTTTTAAGCCACTCAGATACCCTACGGGCTCGGAAAGTGCAACGAAACCATCAAATTTTAGCTAGAAACTGTATTTTTGTCGATTTTTATTGAATTTGAACTATATTTCAACGTTTTTTGATGGTTCTGAGCCACCAAACACACTTAAAGCATGCAGAATCGACTCAGAATAGGAAAAGGAGACGTTTAGGTCAATTTTATGCATTCTGGCGTTCGTAGATACAAGAAAACTGTTAAAATTCTTCAGAAACGTCACTTTTGAAGTGTTTTCTTGTACTTTTAAGCCACTCAGATACCCTACGGGCTCGGAAAGTGCAACGAAACCATCAAATTTTAGCTAGAAACTGTATTTTTGTCGATTTTTATTGAATTTGAACTATATTTCAACGTTTTTTGATGGTTCTGAGCCACCAAACACACTTAAAGCATGCAGAATCGACTCAGAATAGGAAAAGGAGACGTTTAGGTCAATTTTATGCATTCTGGCGTTCGTAGATACAAGAAAACTGTTAAAATTCTTCAGAAACGTCAATTTTGAAGTGTTTTCTTGGACTTTTAAGCCACTCAGATACCCTACGGGCTCGGAAAGTGCAACGAAACCATCAAATTTTAGCTAGAAACTGTATTTTTGTCGATTTTTATTGAATTTGAACTATATTTCAACGTTTTTTGATGGTTCTGAGCCACCAAACACACTTAAAGCATGCAGAATCGACTCAGAATAGGAAAAGGAGACGTTTAGGTCAATTTTATGCATTCTGGCGTTCGTAGATACAAGAAAACTGTTAAAATTCTTCAGAAATGTCACTTTTGAAGTGTTTTCTTGTACTTTTAAGCCACTCAGATACCCTACGGGCTCGGAAAGTGCAACGAAACCATCAAATTTTAGCTAGAAACTGTATTTTTGTCGATTTTTATTGAATTTGAACTATATTTCAACGTTTTTTGATGGTTCTGAGCCACCAAACACACTTAAAGCATGCAGAATCGACTCAGAATAGGAAAAGGAGACGTTTAGGTCAATTTTATGCATTCTGGCGTTCGTAGATACAAGAAAACTGTTAAAATTCTTCAGAAACGTCACTTTTGAAGTGTTTTCTTGTACTTTTAAGCCACTCAGATACCCTACGGGCTCGGAAAGTGCAACGAAACCATAAAATTTTAGCTAGAAACTGTATTTTTGTCGATTTTTATTGAATTTGAACTATATTTCAACGTTTTTTGATGGTTCTGAGCCACCAAACACACTTAAAGCATGCAGAATCGACTCAGAATAGGAAAAGGAGACGTTTAGGTCAATTTTATGCATTCTGGCGTTCGTAGATACAAGAAAACTGTTAAAATTCTTCAGAAACGTCACTTTTGAAGTGTTTTCTTGTATTTTTAAGCCACTCAGATACCCTACGGGGTCGGAAAGTGCAACGAAACCATCAAATTTTAGCTAGAAACTGTATTTTTGTCGATTTTTATTGAATTTGAACTATATTTCAACGTTTTTTGATGGTTCTGAGCCACCAAACACACTTAAAGCACGCAGAATCGACTCAGAATAGGAAAAGGAGACGTTTAGGTCAATTTTATGCATTCTGGCGTTCGTAGATACAAGAAAACTATTAAAATTCTTCAGAAACGTCACTTTTGAAGGGTTTTCTTGTACTTTTAAGCCACTCAGATACCCTACGGGCTCGGAAAGTGCAACGAAACCAACAAATTTTAGCTAGAAACTGTATTTTTGTCGATTTTTATTGAATTTGAACTATATTTCAACGTTTTTTGATGGTTCTGAGCCACCAAACACACTTAAAGCATGCAGAATCGACTCAGAATAGGAAAAGGAGACGTTTAGGTCAATTTTATGCATTCTGGCGTTCGTAGATACAAGAAAACTGTTAAAATTCTTCAGAAACGTCACTTTTGAAGTGTTTTCTTGTACTTTTAAGCCACTCAGATACCCTACGGGCTCGGAAAGTGCAACGAAACCATCAAATTTTAGCTAGAAACTGTATTTTTGTCGATTTTTATTGAATTTGAACTATATTTCAACGTTTTTTGATGGTTCTGAGCCACCAAACACACTTAAAGCATGCAGAATCGACTCAGAATAGGAAAAGGAGACGTTTAGGTCAATTTTATGCATTCTGGCGTTCGTAGATACAAGAAAACTGTTAAAATTCTTCAGAAACGTCACTTTTGAAGTGTTTTCTTGTACTTTTAAGCCACTCAGATACCCTACGGGCTCGGAAAGTGCAACGAAACCATCAAATTTTAGCTAGAAACTGTATTTTTGTCGATTTTTATTGAATTTGAACTATATTTCAACGTTTTTTGATGGCTCTGAGCCACCAAACACACTTAAAGCATGCAGAATCGACTCCGAATAGGAAAAGGAGACGTTTAGGTCAATTTTATGCATTCTGGCGTTCGTAGATACAAGAAAGCTGTTAAAATTCTTCAGAAACGTCACTTTTGAAGTGTTTTCTTGTACTTTTAAGCCACTCAGATACCCTACGGGCTCGGAAAGTGCAACGAAACCATCAAATTTTAGCTAGAAACTGTATTTTTGTCGATTTTTATTGAATTTGAACTATATTTCAACGTTTTTTGATGGTTCTGAGCCACCAAACACACTTAAAGCATGCAGAATCGACTCAGAATAGGAAAAGGAGACGTTTAGGTCAATTTTATGCATTCTGGCGTTCGTAGATACAAGAAAACTGTTAAAGTTCTTCAGAAACGTCATTTTTGAAGTGTTTTCTTGTACTTTTAAGAAAGAAAACACTTCAAAAGTGACGTTTCTGAAGAATTTTAGCAGTTTTCTTGTATCTACGAACGCCAGAATGCATAAAATTGACCTAAACGTCTCCTTTTCCTATTCTGAGTCGATTCTGCATGCTTTAAGTGTGTTTGGTGGCTCAGAACCATCAAAAAACGTTGAAATATAGTTCAAATTCAATAAAAATCGACAAAAATACAGTTTCTAGCTAAAATTTGATGGTTTCGTTGCACTTTCCGAGCCCGTAGGGTATCTGAGTGGCTTAAAAGTACAAGAAAACACTTCAAAAGTGACGTTTCTGAAGAATTTTAACAGTTTTCTTGTATCTACGAACGCCAGAATGCATAAAATTGACCTAAACGTCTCCTTTTCCTATTCTGAGTCGATTCTGCATGCTTTAAGTGTGTTTGGTGGCTCAGAACCATCAAAAAACGTTGAAATATAGTTCAAATTCAATAAAAATCGACAAAAATACAGTTTCTAGCTAAAATTTGATGGTTTCGTTGCACTTTCCGAGCCCGTAGGGTATCTGAGTGGCTTAAAAGTACAAGAAAACACTTCAAAAGTGACGTTTCTGAAGAATTTTAACAGTTTTCTTGTATCTACGAACGCCAGAATGCATAAAATTGACCTAAACGTCTCCTTTTCCTATTCTGAGTCGATTCTGCATGCTTTAAGTGTGTTTGGTGGCTCAGAACCATCAAAAAACGTTGAAATATAGTTCAAATTCAATAAAAATCGACAAAAATACAGTTTCTAGCTAAAATTT